TCATGTACTTGATAGGTGAAGTAATCTGAGGTTATCTCCCCTGTCTGTGGAAAGAGCCTTGAACATATTTCTAAAGGTTTTTATGAAATCAGAATATAAAGCTGTCTCCCATTATTACTGCACAGTAGCACATGTTTAGTTTAGGTCCAGTGTAAGTTATACATTTGAGATTATTTTTTTAATTTGTACATTTTGCAAACTTTAAAAAAAGCATTGATAGCTTGTATGATTTCATTTTTATTAGTTACATTTTCATATAAAATACTGTTTGAAAAGAAAAATTAAATTAGTTTTCTCTTTCTGCCTTTTAGTGTGGGGATATTCAACCATTGCTGTTGTGGTCATCAGTTTGGTTGGGCTTCTTGGTGTAGCCATTGTCCCTATCATGCAGAAAGTCTTTTACAACCACCTGCTCCTGTTCCTAGTGGCTCTGGCTGTGGGGGCCCTAGCAGGGGACGCCTTATTACATCTCCTACCACATGTAAGTAATAATATAAATATATAATTAAGTAACCCTAGCTATGGGCCTCTAAATTATGTATTGGGTAAATGGGGTTAATTTTCCTGCTGTGTGGACTGAATCTCCTGTGGAACTTATCATATAGGAAGAGGAAGATATCTGCTCTGTTCACATGCCTACACAATACTGTTAATTGTACAATGAAACTGTATGTTACTGGTTTTGAAGGATATAGAGTTACGTTAAACAGATTCCAAAATAAATGCATACAAGAAACCCAAGAGTCATGAATCAGTAAAGATACTTGTAAATATATATACAATGCAGGGGCGTAACAAACGGGTATTCAATGTGTAAGCCCAAGGATGAAATGTGCTGCCGAAGGCAGCACCCCGAAGCGCGCAGCGTGAGGAGGGGGAGGGTATTGGAGGGGTTTTCTAGAATTTTGTTTTCTAGAACACTTGATACGAGTTCTCCCGTGTTCTGGGTCAGTTTCAATGGCCCTTTTAAAGTAAGAAAATATCGTTTTCCCCCATTTTGTTTAGAAATATTCTGCTTATTTTTGGGTACGCTGGGATTGGTACTCATCTACGCCAATTCTGTTATGGAGTTCGGTAACATTATTCCACGGAAAAGAAAAATCTAAATACATATGGATTATTGGATGGCTGTTGTAAGAGTTTTTCTCTTAGTATCTCAAGCTATCACTAGGAATAGTTTAACATTATGTACATAAGAACTGATATACTGGTCAATGTAAAATGTAAAGCCATGGTTTATGACCATTCTTTAGTGAGTGAGTACTATGTCTGTACCGATAATTTGCATAGCTAGAGTTGCACTGGCACGGTTACCATGTCTAATGCTTGAAGCCAGGCCACATATTGTTCCCTTTATATGTATACATCATATCAATAAAAGCGGTAAAAACTTTGAAACACTTTAAATCACGGGGAAACTAGAGTTAATGTTTGGGTACACTAATAATTAGCAAGGCTAGAGTTTCACTGGCACGGTTACCATGCCGAATGAACATACTACCCTCAGTTCTATATTTGTTAGAGACTTTGATTGCAATGAAGCATTTTAGTTGGCGGTCTTTATAGCAGCAGATGACGTCTTGCCCCAGCCTTGAATTTGACCATTACACTGTCAACATCAACTGCTCTATCTTTGTGGCAGTGGAGCATTGCCAAACTGGAAAGTCGGTTAGTGGACATTGTTGAGCGCATGTAGTTCTTGATTCGTCGCATGGAGCTAAACGACCTCTCGAAACTTGCTGTGGACACTGGCATTGTGATTAAGATGGCCAGTATTGCATGTATGGAAGGGTACAGTATGTCATCTGTTTGACACAGAGTGGTCAGGGGGTCGGCGGGTTTCTCCTCGTCTGGCACCATTTCCCATCGTATTTTCCATCTGGCTCCTTCCCTCTGGTAGGCTTGGCGTCCAAAGCCAAGGTGTTCTTCGTAGGTTACAAAGATAAACTCAGCCATGATATCGTCCAAGTTCCTCAGAAAAATGGGTATCAGATATTGAGCTTTGAACCTTTTCTGTGGAACAAGGAGTCTAGTCTCGAGCTCACTAAGGAAGTGGTCATTGAAGGGGTAGTAGAGAGCTCTCCTCCAATACTGGGGTGGGTTTTCAGCAGGAACATTGTTTCTGTGTATTTGCCGTCCTGTTCGTCTGGGGACACATGGTTGGATTTCAAACTGGGCGGCAAGTGCCGTTGCCTTGTCGTACAAATCGTCCCATACGGCCTTATCGTTCCATTCCCCGAGGAGCATCTCCACTACTACAGTTGCCTCTGCTGATGCAGCCACAAGGTCTGTGTTGATCTTTTGTAGCAACAGTGACAGCTGGACGGTGGATCCAAGTATGTGTTCTGTTACCACCAGTGTAATTATAAAGTCAAACCTGAGGATTGCATTTAGAAGATCCCCGGCGCGTCGATCTGTTCCCTGTTCGAGTTCCTCAAAGGCTTCAACTACACATTGAAGTGCTGCTCTGAAGGTGACCAAAGCGTCAGCCCTCGCACTCCACCTCGTTTCGAACAGCATCCACAGTTTGGTTCTTCTCCCATTTCTTCTTTGGAAGCTTCGTGTTCTGCTACCTTCTCCCCATGTTGCATCAGACGTTTGGCTGAATACCCAAAGGCAAACGAAATTTCCTTGACCATATCCATCATGGTTCGCACGACTGCTAAGTTGCATGCTTGTGTGATGGCAAGGTTCAAACAATGAGCTTTGCAATGCACATACTCTGCCAAGGGAAACTGCTCCTTTACTATCGCCTGTATTCCTTTGTATTTACCACTCATATTTGACGCACCATCATATGCCTGTGCTCTCATTTTTACGACATCGACTCCGTGGTCTCTTAATGTTCTAAGAAATGTTGCGGTGAAGCTTTCTCCAGTCAAGGACTCCGCTTCCGTAAAGCCTAGAAACTCTTCCCGGACAACGCTTGCTCCATCTCTGGCTTTGTGCAGAAATCTGACACAGATTGATATCTGCTCCTTTGTTGCAGAATCCGTTGCCTCGTCGGCAATGAGGGCGAAGCATGGGGCAGCGTTGCAATCCGATACGAGTTTTTGGCATATCTCACCTGCGCACAAGTCAAGTAGTTCGTTTTGTATTTTGGGGGATAGATATTTCGTTTTTTGTGACTCGTCATGTAAATAACGGTAAAGCATGGTTACTGCGCGATATCGTAGTATAGCAAGGAAATTGCTTTCGTCTGGTGTGTGGCCTCGTATCGGCAAGTTCTGTCGTCCGCACAGCAATAAGGTGTCAATAATAGCCAATAGCGCTTGTCTATTCTCTTCAACATTTTGGGAATACTGGGAGGATATTTGTTCTTTAATATCCTTTTGTTTTAGATCTGATATGGATCGAAAAACTTCAGCACTTGAGACACACTCATGGTTTTTCGATCCCGGTGTCGTGTGTCTCCTTATCAAACTTCCTGTATTAGCCCAATCGTTAACTGGTGTTATAGAAAACGTTTTTTTTTCTTCGAATCTTTTCCCCCAAAAAGCACACAGTAGATACAGTACACACAGTCTTTGGATATCAAATACCGCAGCCAGTTGTGCTCTTTCAAGAGTGATGAATTTAGTTTCCTTTGCTTCGTGCCAATAAGCCTGGAAGGGGACAATAATACTTTAAATAGACCTGTGTACAGCTAAAACAACCTCAGTGGCTAAAATATTAACTAACTCAAAGGAATATTACTGGGTCGTGATTATAGTTTTTTCAGAGGAGGATCTAGGATATTTCCCAAGAGGGCTATGAGATATTTTGATAGTTGTACACATTTTGATGCAGATTTTTTTTTATACGTTTTACTAGCTTTTCAATTTTTCAATGATTTGTTTAAAAAAATTTAGAGAAATCCCCGAAATCTCCCACAAGGATTATCCCTTGGAGTTTATTCAGCATAACACACGAAACCATACTTTATTTTAAATTTTACTATGAAAGCAATTGTGTTAATATGAAATATTTATAATATCGCTATAAATAAATGATCTGTCATAAAATGAATATTTTTGATAAGTTAGATACCAGCTAGGTTTCAAGCAAGCAAAATAATAAAGAATTCATGAATATCCGCCTCCTGATATCATTAGTATGCAGGGTAGACAGCGGTATAGTTTAAAAATAGCATCAATACAAGTTGTAATTCTCGCGCGAACGAAGCAGACGACATGACACAATTCGCTATTTCTAAACACATGTAAATTCATATCCTGATACACCTATACATAACAACACTGTCTAGATATCTGTCTCAAGTAAGCAGTACCCATAAGAAGACGATTTGGGGATGTTGTCGAAAATCAACGCCTGTCAGTCATTTTTAATTCGACCCGAATTGTAACTTTTGATTATTTTTGAAATTTGGTAACTTTGTGAAGATAAACGAGATTCAGGTTCAACTGATTAACGATAAGTTTCCATGCTTTGAAATGAAATTCAAAACAGAGCCATAATTACTATTCGTTGGTAGGTAGGTATCTTTAAATGGCAAAAAGACAAACTTAAAGTTAAACGGTTAACCCTCTTGGAAAATTAAATATCCTGGATCCTCCCCGGAATAAACTATAAAAAGGACGAATGGGGGTAACTCGCTGAAAGTAGTGTGCGGCTGCCCATAATAAAATTCATCACACCATTCAATCCAACCAAGTGATTTATCATTATGCAAAGGTTCCAGGTATACTGTATCGGTATGTTTTAACCTCAATTTTTCTTTATAATTTATTACGCCCATTAGCACCCTCGAATGCCACCCAAAACCCCACCCCTACTGTACTGTTCATCGCTTGGTAAATAAATATTTTAATTGTTAAATCTAAAGAAACTAAGTATAATGCACATAAAATAATGAGTCCGTATGTTCATGCAGCAACTGACCTTGCAGGAAATGTGTATTCCTTGATCCATTCCATATCATTTTTCAATAACAGTGCCTTTGTATAGTCATCACACGAACCCCAAGAAGCTATCACAGCAATATCAGGATACACATGATCGAAAGTACGATGTTGTGGAATTCCCGTTAGTTTGGGTGGAACAAGACGGAGTCCTCGTCGTCAGATTGCACATGTGGATCAGTTTAGTTAACATGTTTGAACTTTGGCGCAAAAAAACTGTTCATGTTCTTTTGTGTCATTTTGAACCGGATGTTTTATCGTGTAATGGTGGGTGCGTTCTATTAGCAGCATGTCGTGGTTATAAAGGGTGCGTTCGAATCCATGTCGACATGATACAAAACAACTGCCATTCCTTTTTAGCTCACTTGGCCCTCCTTTGAGCTTATGGCATGGTGCGGCGTTCGTCCGGCGTCAACTTTTTACTTTAAACAACTTCTTCTCAGTAACCAAAAGGCTGAGGGTGATGATATTTGACCAGAAGCATGCTTGCATGAAGGACTACCAAGTTTGTTCAAATAAATGACCTTCATCAATTTTCAAGGTCACAGGGGTCAAATATGCTAAAATCTTTAAACAACTTCTTCTGAATAATCAAGAGGCCTAGGATGATGATATTT